TAACACAGAAGTCAGGCTACAGTCATCTCTCACCGAGACCAATTCCACATAGCCTCCTGAGGTCACCCTAAATCTCCTGCACCCACAGTCATCTCTCCACACATGACCTATACTATTTAAATCATAACATGTCACTCCCATTTTGCCAGTCACAGCAAGATTAAAGACCTATCAGGGCCTACAGGACTCTAGGTGATGACCTGGTTCCTGGCTACCTCGAAAGCCTCATTTCCACCTTGTCCCCTCACTCATGCATTTTCATAGCACTGGTCTCCTTGCTAAATTTTTCTTTTTCAATTTACAAAACATGCTGCCATCCTGGGCTCTTGCATTGCCGTAATGCATTTCTCTAAGATACTTGATTGGCTAGCTCTCTGATTTCATGAAATTATCTGATCAATGTCACCTTTTAGAGAAGACTTTTCTGATCATTTTCATCATACCCTATCCCCTCATTCTGCATAGAGTTTTTCCTTCCTAGCATTTATCACTAACTGACGTAATACATATGTGTTTGTTTTTTTATTTTTTTTTTAAGATTTTATTTATTTATTTGAGAGAAAGAGAGAGAGTTAGTGAGAGCAGGAACACAAGCAGGGGGAGTGGGAGACGGAGAAGCAGGCTTCCTGCTGAACAGGGAACCCGATGTGGGGCTCGATCCCAGGACCCTGGGATCATGACCTAGCCGAAGGCAGATGCTTAATGACTAAGCCACTCAGGCACCCCAATACCTATGTATTTATTATCTCTCTCTCTTACACTAGAATATAAGCTCCCATGAGGGCAAAGATATTGTGTGTCCACCACTAAAGTCCCAATACCAAGAACATTGCCTGAAACATATACAGGAGTTCAAAAGTATATGTTGAATTCATTAATTAATGGATGCAAAATATTAAGTCAGTAAAATTATAAATTAAAATTCTAAGTCATGTTTTAATTCATAAACTTTGATGTTGTTTATTCATGATCCATTTCCCCTTCCTTCTAAAATACTTTCTCTTTTGAAATGCTATCCCTTACCAATTGAATGTAAACTCAGTAAAACTATCAATAAAAGTGTACTGTCCCTCAGCATTTATCCAAGGGGTGGGTACAAAAACAAACTACAACAATCTGACTCCTTATCCCTGAAACTAAAGTGTGAGCCTAAAAACTCCCAATCAAAAATATTTATAGCCAATGGAGTCCAGTGTTGTATATTTTTAAAAAGATTTTATTTATTTATTTGTGAGAGAGAGAAAGCACAAGTGCACGCCAGCTGGGGGAGGGGCAGAGGGAAAGGAACAAGCAAGACTCCCCACTGAGCAGGGAGCCCAATGCAGGGCTCGATCCCAGGACGCGGGAATCATGACCTGAACCGAAGGCAGACACTTAACTGAACCACCCAGGTGCCCCGAGTCCAGTGTTGTATCTTGAGGGGACATCCAGAGGTGCTCTAGTTCATATATCTCCAGTATCTAGTAGTTCTTGTATTTGGGGAGCTATCCAATATTCTTCCATAGGTTTCCTTTCTATCCCCTACCCTGTTTGTTTGTTTGTTTGTTTCTTTGTTTTAATTAACCAGAATCAGTTTCTGTTGGTTACAATCCAAAATAAAAAATTTAACAGAAAGTTTCCCAACTCTTTTTTCTATCTCTCATCTTTCCCTCTCAGTTTGTTCTCCACACATACTTCCCAATTACACAGCATCCTTTAGTTATCAAACCCCACCTCTCTGAAGACATCTCCCAGAAATGCCATTTCTGATGTTTAATGTTTCAAAATCATTTATCACTCCTCCCACCTAGCACTGTTTACTTAAAGTTGCTGAATTAAAATAGAAGTTAAGTAATCAATACGATTAAGCCAAATCTCACCAAGTTATCAATAAGCAATAGCTTCTTCTTTTTTTGAGAGAGAGAGAGAGTGTGAGCATGAGTGTGTGGGGGGGGCTATTGAAGAGGGGCAGAGAGAGAGAGGGGGAGAGAGAGAATCCTCAAGCAGGCTCCACACTCAGAGCGCAGAGCCCAGTGCGAGGCTTGATCCCACGCCCCCAAGATCATGACCCCAGCCAAAATCAATAGTCAGATGCTCAACCAACAGAGCCACCCAGGTACCTCTAAGCAACAGCTTTTTAATCTTGCCATGCATATTTGCATTTCTTTAAAAAGAGGCTACTGTTACTCAAAATTTATTTGTTAAAATTTCAGGCAGGATAACAAAGTGAAGAATTTTAGAAAGCATAAGGTAGTTACTTTTAGGGAAAATGTGTTAAATCACAACACTAAGGCAGCGCATCAATCTGATCACAGTTCAGTTAGAGATAAAGAGGGCTACGGGGTGACAACTTATTCATCAATAAACAGATTTTAGTTGAACTACTTTGAGTACATAAAGCATACAGCCCCACTGCAAATGTGATTGAGTCACAGAGACTTATGATGTTACTAAATATGGCTAACATACCCTAAGGGCACTCCACCCATCCCCTCTACCAGAGTTTTTGGGGATGCGGGCAAAACCAACATTCATTTCTAACCCGTATAATATGACAAAGGTGATAGGATATACACGTCCTTGATTAGGTTATATAAAACTTCATCTTAGCAGAATAGGAGAGACAGAATCTCCCTTGCTGGCTTTGAATATTTAAGCTTCCATGTTGTGGGAAGGTCTGAGAGATGGTGATTCTGCAACGATCTGCAGGCCTTTAGGAGCTGAAATGGGCCCTACCTGAGAGTCAGGAAGAAAGTAGGGACCTCAGCCCTACAACTACAAGGAGCTAAATTCTGCCAACATTTACGAGCTTGGAAGAGGACCTCATGCCCCAGAAAGGAATGTAGCTCCACGAACACCTTGACTGAAACCTTGTGAGACCTGAGCAGAGGACCCAACTATCCCTTGCCCAGAGAGATGATAAATGGACGTTGTTTTAAGCCACCACGTTTATGATAATTTGTTACACAGTAATGGAAAACGAATACAATAGTGTACCAAGGAGACAAGAAGATAAAAGCCATGTCTGTAGAAGAACAAATATAGATTGTGGACTTAGCACATTCACTGCTCTTTTACTGACTAACTTATCATATCCACTTCAGAGCATTGATATGAGGATGAATCAGAATTTTTATGTATAGAAATTAAAGCCTTGTGTGAATATTAAACATAAAAATGAGTTCCCTTCTCATATACTCTGCCCTTGTAACTCAGTGAGTGACACAGCCCCACCCATGGGCAGCTGTCAAGACCTGCTACCTTCATTTTGAAGTCATACTTGTCCAATTCTGAGCCACTGAAAGTGGGAGCTTGGCGAACTTCAGGATCTCTTCCACCTACCCACCCATTCTCTCACACGTGAGTGAGGGAGTGGGTTCTGGAAATTGCCGCTCTCCCAACATCTATCGTCTAGGGTATTTGGAGACTGGTTGTTAGATGGACTCCATGGAGGTCCACATAAGGATGCAGCAGTAGATTCTTTGTCTATTCTACCCTGTGTTTGGAGAGCCTTCTACCATGGCTCCTGCTTCAGTCTATTGCTAACACGGTATTGGGTTTTTATCCATTTGTAGTTTCCATCCTAACTTCAACCTACATTTGCTTCTTAGTATTTTAACACCTTGCCAGAGAACCATAGCTACTTGAGCTCCTCCTGCATCTTAGATTAAGAACCTTTGTTATCTGGGAAGTGTCACTTTGTTATTTTTCAGGAAGACAAAGATTACCCCCATTGAAAACCCTGCAGCCCAGCACAATCTGAAACCAACAGTGAGTAATTCACAGGTTTCCAGACCTTAAAAAATTTAATCCAACGCAATTTTTGTCAACATTATGGTTTAATGGAATGAAAGTGGCTATAGCTCCAATAACTTTTGGTGCTTTAGTGATTTTCTACCAAAGTATATTTTTAACATAATCACTGAACACATTCTCGTTGAATTTTCTATTTCTGCAGCTTACCAGTTTAATTATACCCCTATATGGCAGGTGGTTATAATTTCCTTCTCTACAATTCCCTCACACCTACTTTCTTATAAAGGGACTAGTATTTGCTGTGTTTATTTCATTGATGTTGTTGTAAGTAAAAGTATCAGAAATCTGACTATTCCCAAATCTCCTGGAAGCTCTCACCATATTTTGTCAAATTTGCAATGATAATTTTTTTTTTCAAGTAGGCTCCACGCTGGGCATGAACTCAGGACCATGAGATCAAAACCTGAGCTAAAATCAAGAGTCAGCCGCTTAACCATCTGAGCCACCCAGGTGCCTCTGCAATGACAATTTTGAAGAAGAGTGTTATAGAATAGACTTCTCCAAACATAAATGCCAGATTTTTATTTTCTCATTCCATGCTACTGGTCTTTATTTGGGGCACAATTCTAGTCTTGACACTTTCTCTTCATTTTGTGTGTGTGTGTGTGTGTTGTCAATCCTTATTCTATTATCATAGTTTCCCAAGGTCTCATTTCAACTTTAATTTTACTCACAAATCCAATATCATCTCTGGAAACCAGCCTCCACCTAAATTTAAGCCCTCCTTTCTCCTTCTTCTCCTTCTCCTTCAGGCAGTTGTGTCCCAGTCATAGTACAATGTCTTCCAAGAAGTTAAAAAGAATATGAGGTAAGTTCATTTTAAAGCCTCTGTGATGGGGAAGACAGTTTAAATGCTGTGAAGCGCTGACAAGTAACCATAAGCTGATGAAATCTTAAACATAATTTTGATTTAACACAATCAGAAAATAACATCTATTTTGCTTGCAACTTAAAATTAAAATGTGCCACAGTTGGATATATTATCAATATATCCATGATATGTATGCCATGAAGATGGAATTGATGAAGACTGCATTCATCTAGAAACAGTCTTCAGTATTTCTACCTCTCCCGAATCAATCACTAATGGTAGAATACAATTAAAGCACACTTACCTGAAAGCAACTAACTTAAAAAAAAAAAAAAAGTGGAGATATTCAAAAGTATTATTCAACTACAAGAAGTAATATATTAAAAATACTTACAATTTCTTTAAAATATCCAGGAATTCTACCAACTTCTCTTCTAATTTTTTGGGCTCATATAAAGTAAGGCCACCACGTGCTTTTTTAACATGGATAGCTATATTGTGAGAATCATCAGGTTGTTGGGGTTCATAGTCTACTGTGTCTTCAATAGATTTTCTGAACAAAGGAACATAACAGATTATGGTGTTGCATATTGTACAAAAATGACTGACATGAACTCTTCACTGTCAAGAGTAGAAAGGCACTGTTGTAAGATAATTTGGCATTTTAATAGTGTATGCCTTTTCAATGACTTAGTTTTTTTTTTTCCAATCATTAGTAGTACAGTTAAATACATCATCCTGTTAAGCCTAAACACTGACATATATAAAATATTTTCTACATACAGGACTTGATTACACATATTATAACTGTCTTAAGTGATTGAAACATCTTTTGTAACTAGGTGTACATAATTTAAGGAAATATTTGAAGTCAATGGTTGATATCCTTCTCTTTATAGCCATACACTTGTTTTTTGTTGTAAACTTCATACCAACGATAAAAGTGCTTTTTAAAAACTTTTTTTTCCAACTGGTAAATTATGAACATCTTGAAAGCAGCCATTGTTCTTTATTGTTGTGCTACAGTATGTTATACACCCAAGTCCCCAGGAGATGTATGACTGAATGACCATTCTCCATTCATTTTTCTAGCCCCATGCATTCCTATTAAGAAGTCACTAAAAATCTCAGCTTTGGGCAGTGGCAGTATCATAGCCAATGAGGTTTATCCAAGGCGCGATTATTGCTAAAAGAAATCACTAAAAATCTAAGAGCAAAAACTAACAATTTCTGTATATCCTTAAGAAAAAAAACAATGTGGAGGAGATGATAAAAGCCCAAATGACCATAGATTACTGACTTGTAATTATATACATGAGAATATAAAAATCATACTTAAATATAAGGTAAACATGCGGAGTAATAATAATAGTAAATAATCACATTAACATCTAACACATACTTGAGCTTTTGTGCTAGTTGTTTTGCTAAACATTATATACACATATCTCATTAACTATGTGAAATAAGCAATAATATCCTCCATTGATAAGGAAATTTCAGGTTAAAGAGTTTATATAATTTGTCTTACCACTCATAGCTAGTAGAGCTAGAATTTCTGTAATCTCTCTTAAGTTTGCAGATGTTAAAGCTGAGTAGTAAAGCTTACTTATTTGATGTATACAGGAAGGAGATAGCCTAGCATAACTTACAAAGATAAAATTAAAAGCCAAAATCCATTTCCCCTTCCATCACTTTCATGGAACCATTCCTTCCAGACCTAGAACCCCACTTAAAACTCTATCTCTAGTTACTCGCGTAAATAGTAAGCACAGTAAAACTCAGCAATGATAAAAATTCAGGTATAAAGCAATTGGCTTTCCTCCACCAAACCTGGATGCTAAAATGCAAATGGAATGAAGTTTTTATAATCTGGAGAAGAGAGGGCCATGGACTGGAGGGAAAGTGGGAGGTAGATATGGCAGACTTTGTGGCAAGAATGTGGAAAGTGAGTCTTCATTGGACCTAGTATTCTTCTGGTCCAAGTTCATCATATTTGCCCAAGGCAGGTGACTCCTGGATTTCCTACTTTGTGTTGGAAATCTCAAGGCAGCCAAAGGATTCAGAATAGTCCCGAGTGACATTTAAGCTTCTTGAAATTAACCAGGAGATACTAAGCCACCAAAAGCAACAGGAAAAAGTAGGTGGCCATACATATTAATTGATTAAATTGTGCCCTATGCTCCTCAGGAAATGGTAGAAAATTATCCTCATCATTATATAGTAAAACTAGCAATAATGCAATACATATAGTCTAAAAACTTCAGTCATACAAAATTCAAGAATCATTTTATGAGAAGTTAATAAGTTGTACAAGCAGACAAGGCAAGCGGGAGTATAGAAGGTCATGGATATGATTCAGATCTTTTCTGGAGAGCTATGTTGAGGATCTCAGACTTCTCCATCTCTCTATATTTCACAATAAACTGTACCTTTAAATTTTTTAAGTTAAGTTTGATATGGGGTAAAATCTCTGATTCTTGTGAGTCTAACTTGAAAACTGAATCCTTAGTGTTATTCTCAGGCTTCTAAAGATATTTTTCATAAAGTCTTAGTTACTCTATGCTAAGATTGTGCCAAGATGGGGTGCCTGGGTGGCTCAGTCATTAAGCGTCTGCCTTCGACTCAGGTCATGATCCCAGGGTCCTGGGATCAAGACCTGCATCAGGCTCCCTGCTCAGCGGGGAGCCTGCTTCTCCCTCTCCCACTCCCCCTGCTTGTGTTCCTTCTCACACTGTGTCTCCCTCTGTCAAATAAATAAATAAAATCTTAAAAAAAAAAAAAAAAAATATAACTAATAAGTAAAAATCCTTCCACAAAGAAACTCCTGGCCAAAATGGCCTTAATGATGAATTCAAATTCTTAATAAATAAAAGCAAACACTTTCAGAAAATACAAAAGACAGTTATACTTTCCAGCTAGTTTTAGGAAGCCAACATAGCCTTAATATCAACATCTGTCAAGGATATCACAAGAACAGAAAATTACAAGCCAATATCACTGAATATAGATGCAAAAATTCTAAGCAAAATATTAATAAACTGAATCCAGTAATTTTAAAAGATAGTAAAGCATAGCCTAGTTGGGACTATACCAGGAATACTATTTCAGGTATGTTATTCAACACATTAATGGAATAAGAAAAATCATGATCATCTAAACATTTCATATGATACAATATTTATGTGTAATACAAAATCCTACAAAACTAGAAATAATGAACTTTCTTAATATGACAAAAGTATTTTAAAAATACAACAAATATTGGGGCCCCTGGGTGGCTCAGTCATTAAGCGTCTGCCTTCGACTCAGGTCATGATCCCAGGGTCCTGGGATCAAGCCCCACATCAGGCTCCCTGCTCGGCGGGGAGTCTGCTTCTCCCTCCCCCACTCCCCCCTGCTTGTGTTCCTGCTTTCACTATCTCTGTCTCTGTCAAATAAATAAATAAAATCTTAAAACAATACAACAAATATTAAACTGCAATTTAAAAAGCTTTGCCTCTGGAATTGGAAATAAGTCATGTATACTGCTCTAACCTATTCAACACTGTAATGGAGGTCTTAGGCATTAAAATACAAGCAAAAAGTGTAAGAATCAGGAAGTATCAGTAAAGCTGTTATTTTTTTGGATGACATTATAATTATTAATGACATTATGACATTATTACTATTCTAGTGTTTACAGATACTAGATTTCATAAGAGAATTTAGCGAGGTTGCTGGGTAAAAGTTCAACAGACAAACATCAATTGTATTTCTGCCTTTATGTTCCTTATTACCTTTTTTTTTTCTTAATGTCACTCCATTTTATTGCAATAAACTCAAAGTATACATATTTCAGCAGGGAATACATGATACCATCAGTCATCAGTGAGTATGGCTTCAAAAGTCTCCCCCATTTCCTCATAGGACATATATTTGGGTTATAATGATGGTTACACACCTACTTAAGATAAGGTCTTATCAAGTTATGGAAAGCCCTAACATGACCAGGACTTCACTCATGCAACTTCTGATGCAACAGATAATATTGGCCATCACTGGACAGGGCCAGCCAGGTATCTCCTGGGTAACAAGGTTTCAGGACAATCTGGCTTAGCCAATATGTTCCCTACTATCCAATGCAGGAAGGCACTAATGGTATAATCAGTCTCTAAATGTGTTATTGAAAGTTATTAAAAGTGATACAAAGAATTTATACCTGTTGTGAAAAACAATCATAGGGCGCTTGTAGGAGTGTAAAACCAGGGGACCTATTTTGCTTATAGGAAAAGACAATGGGGTGCCTGGGTGGCTCAGTTGCTTAAGCAACTGCCTTCGGCTCAGGTCATGATCCCGGGTCCTGGGATCAAGTCCCACATGGGGCTTCCCTTGCTCTGCAAGGAGCCCTCTCCCTCTGCCTGCCACTCTCCCTGCTTGTGCTTGCTCTCTGTCAAATAAATAAATAAAATCTTAAAAAAAGGAAAAGACAATGTCTCTCACAGAGAGATTTAAACTGAGACATTCAAGATGAAAAGAGTTTAAAAAAGAATATTCCAGAAGAAGGTACAAGGAATTTTCCTGCAGAAGAAATTTCTAAAGATGCTAAATTCTGCTCAAAAATATTTTGACCCTGTCAAATAGACATAGCCACTGTATAACAGATTAATGTCCTCTGTTAATCTTTCCATACTTTTTTGGTATCATTACATCTAATTATTTCTGAATTAACTTTTGCTCAAGGTAAATGATAGGGATGCATGAAATTACCTATCTATAGAATTGGATAATTACCATAACGAGCTAGTAATTAGGCAATTCTATTCATTTCTCTGCTATTAACTGTTTAAAGTTTTGGCATTTTTTCTACTGATAATTAAATTAAAAACATACATAATATATTGTAAGTTTAAGAGTAACAATAAAATAGTGTTAATATACTCACTCAGATCTTTAAAGTACCTGTGGTACTGTACAGCTACTCCTCCATGGACAGATGTAGCACTCACTCCAGAGATAACCACTACCCTGAATTTTGTTCCTTGGTTTTCATTATACATTTTAGTCAAAAATGTATGCATCTCTTTAAAAACCTAATTTTAATTTTGCATATTTAGTTTTGCACTTGATAGAAATGAAGTGATTCTTAAGTATTCTGTAACTCGCTTTTTGGTTGTTATTGTTCAACATTGTGTTTATGAGACTTAATGACTGTCGTTCATTCATTTTACTGCTGTGTAAGATTTCATTATATTTATGTACCACAAAGGGGACTTTCTATTCCCATTTTCTTAGTCTGTGGGCAACTGGGATTTTTGTTTCCAGGTTTGTTTTGCCTTTTGTTTGTTTGCTTGCTGTATACAAACTTGCTTACTATGACTAATTTTGTATATGCACAGCTTCTCCAGGGAATACACCCAGAATTAGAATTTTTAAGTCATAATGTATGTGCATCCTCAATTTTATTAATAATTAGCCAAATTATTTTCTAAAGTGGCTAAAATAGTAGCCAAGGTGTAAGTTTCAGTTGCTCTACATTCTCACTGCCACCATGATATTATTAAATTTTTGATTTTGTGAATCTAATTGTAAAATATTAATCATGCTTCATGTAATCACTGAGTTATATAGACTATAGGAAATCCCTGTTATTTAATTCCTCAGTAACTGTGAAGAGAAAAAATATTATTTAAAAAGATCACAACACAATTAAGATGTGATTTGCCTCTTTTTGCTGTGTTGGAGTTTAATCATGCAAAAATAATGACGGGTAAAACTATTTGCAACTAAGCATGATTCAAAATAATGAGACCAAACTGTACTAGCAGTCACTGAATTCCTCACTGCCACACACTTGCAATTTTTAAAAAGCCAGAAAAAATATTAATTTTATTAAATCTCAACATTCTGACCCTGAGTACACTTTTTCATGATATTCTGTGTGACAAAATGAAAAGTATAAAGAATTTTTGCAGCATTTCAAAGAGATTTTTGTCTCAAGTAAAAGTGAGTTTATGATCCAATTGTAAGCTAAACTATCCACTTTTTTCACTGCACTCCATAATTACTTGAAAGAACAGCCAAAAAACAAACTATAATAAATGACTTTGATGTTTGGAATATATTTTCTCAAAAATGAGTGAAATATACAGTATCTGTTGCTTATGATAAAATTTAAACTTTCAAGTAAAAATTTGATTTTTGGAAAACTTGTATCCACTTCTGTAAACTTGACAGCCTCCTAACACTTAAGGCTTTCTGATGATCAGTGTTGATATTAAAAATTGTCATTTTCATATATTGCATAAACATGTCAACATTTGTAAGATCTGTATAACCCAGTGGACCAATGTTTTCTAAATGGCCAGTGTATATTACACAATCATGCATTAGTAAAATAATAGTTTTTGTAGCCATCAATGTTTTTAAATTGGCCATATTAAAGATA